TGTCCTGAACATGTTGGCCACTTGACAACATACTGCTTTGACAGAAGAGTCTTTAAATTATACCCTAACAAACCCTGCTTTTCCTGTATTAATGCTGTTCACATTTTCTCTTACATTTTTCTTCTTCTTATCAAAATTCTTCCTAGAATCCATATCTTGCATTTCCTTTTCCAAGAAGAGACTTCATTTAGAATCTTCTCTTCCTGCTGTAATCTGCTGGTTGCTTTTACTGCTTTCCGTAAGTCAGAGTTAGGTTCAGAGGTGTGTGACAGAAATCCTCACACAACTTAAGACAGAAATCCATCACTTATGCACACATAGAAATCTGAGGAAAGGCAGAGAGTGTAAAGATGTCCTGTAGGCAAAAAGAAATTCCGTCACTTCTGGCTCACTGTCTGTCTTCTGTGTTGTAGTCCCTCTTTCATGAGTCTGAGCTGGAGCTCCAGCTATCACACCCAACTTCCAGACAATAACTAGGGAAGGAATCAAAGATGGATACATCCCTCCCATCTAGGATGGCTGTGGGATGTTCTGTATGTTAAATGTGTTGCTCTGATTGGTCAATAAATAAAATACTGATTGGCCAGTAGCCAGGCAGGAAGTATAGGTGGGACAAGGAGAGAGGAGAATTCTGGGAAGTGGAAGGCTGAGGCATGAGGCAGAGAGACACTGCCAGCCACTGTGATGAGAAGATGTTAAGATACCAGCAAGCCACGAGCCACGTGGCAACTTATAGATTAATAGAAATGGGTTGATTTAAGATAGAAGAATAGTTAGCAAGAAGTCTGCCACAGCCATACAGTTTGTAAGTAATATAAGTCTCTGTGTGTTTACTTGGTTGGGTCTGAGCAGCTGTGGGACTGGCAGGTGAGAGAGATTTGTCCTGACTGTGGGCCATGCACGACTGGAGAAAACTCTAGCTACATAGGGTACTTTCCCACACAGGATGCTTAATCTTCATGCCATTAGCTTAGACTTAGACACACGAATAGGTGTAGCTGGAAAGAACTTAGGAGTGTCGTCTTTAGTTGTGAAACAACCAGCTGCAAATGAATGTATTTCTGAGGATGAAGGGGAGAACGAATGTATATCAGGATACAACTAGCAGTCACTGTCCGCCAGGGTTCGTCTTTTCCTTTAAGATCTGTTTTAAAATATTTGTTCAGGAAAAACTGCTTCTTTAGAGTAGGGTGTGCAAGCTCATTTCCAGAACAGTGCCTGTTCATTACTGAATGCCAACAAAGGAGCTACACAACACCCTTCTGTTGATGGGAAAACATAGGCAAGGAATGATGCACTTCTTACTGAAGTCATATTTGGTCGGTGAAAGAGTCAGAATTAGAACCCAAGTCATCATGCTTCAGGTCCTTTATCTTGAGATGTTGCTTTTGATCTCACATTAGAGATTCACAAGGGCTATCATGTATTAGTGTGTATTAAAGAGGTGAGTTGAGGTTCATTGTAAATTAAATTAGATACCAGCATTTGTCAGTAATTAAGAGAGACTATGTAGAACAGTAGGTAAGGTGTTAAGGTCATGCACTTTGTAGACTTTCAATTAAAGAGGTTTTAAGTGTGTGTGTGTGTGTGTGTGTGTGTGTGTGTGTGTGTGTGTGTGTGTATGTGTGCAGATTCGCAAAGCCAGGGCATGTATGTGGAGGTCAGAGGACAACCATCAGAAATCAGTTCTCTCTTGCTCCCTTGTAGGATCTGGAGCGCTAACTCAGGTTGTCAGACCTAGGAGCAAGTCTCTACCCACTGAATGAACAATCATGCCAAATTTGCAGCCACACTTTCTAAATTCAGATTCTAACTCCCCCTCTTTCTAGTCATGCAAAGTAGGTCATACTACTTCCCTGTCTGTGCTTTATGTCCCTTAACTTAAAATAGAAGGAATGAGGATGAGGTGTTGTAGGAGCCTGATGAATTATGATGTATATATCGTGCTTATAGCAGTGTCTGACACAGACGTTAATGAGTGTTTGCTATCTTTAATCCATTCTAAGTTGTTTCCATGACAACTACACTTTAACTTATTTGTTACTGGGAAAGACAGGAAGACTTTGTGACAACTATGCAAAACATTGTATATGACATAGACACATAGAACATGAAGCAAATACGCTTCTGTGTCCTAAATATGCTGGAAAATGGTTGCAAAATGTCTAAATAAAATATTATAAAGTTTAGGCTATACCAAAGCCCACAAGTTGTCTTTCCCCAGGTTCAGTAAACTTACTAGGGAGGTCATAGGTGTCAGCATTGTTACTCTGGTCTTCATGGCTATGATTTATTACAACAAAAACACACAAAGGAAATTTGGCAAAAGTAATAGACTGGGTAATTTATAAAGAAAAGAGACTGGCCCTGAAGTCCAAGCCCTCTGGAAACCTTCAAGCTGCACAAATTTGTGTAGTCTCTCTGATTAGAACTTGTAATACTCCATTGAGCAGAAATGATGAGAATGAGTGTTTTTGTCTCATCCTGGATCTTGGATGGGAAGTTTTTACTTTCCCCCATGGATTATGAAGTTTGTCTCAGTCTGTCTACACCCATTGTATGCTGCTTTAACAAGTGTGAGACACTGGATAACTTATAAAGAAAAGGGATTTATTTCTAACACTTCTAGAGGCTGTGAAGTCCAAGGCTACTAACCCTTTGAGAGTCTTCAAGCTACACAATCCTGTGGTGGAAGATGGGAGGTCAAAAGAGAACATATCAAAGAGAAAGAGGCGAGAGAGGCTACCTAGCTTCATTACAGCTCACTTTAGTAATCTTTGACCCACTCTGGTGATAATTAGGTTATCCCTTCTTAAACTGTTAATAAAGTTACAATGGTGTGATGGTTAGTTTTAGTGGGCAACTTGACACAGTTTAGAATCATCTGGGAAGAAAGGCTCAATGAGAGATTGTCTAGACTGGGTTGTCCACAGGCAACCTGTGGGGTTTGTCCTGGTTATGTTAATCAGTGTGGGAAGACTCAGATTGAAAATGGGAGGCAACACTGAGAGCAGAGAAAGCTAACTGACTAAACATGCATGCTGTTTATCTCCTTCTGATCTTTACTGTGGATGTTACTAGCCACTTCAAGCTCCTGCTGTTTTGACTTCCCTGCCATAATGGATGGTATCCTGGAACCATGAGCTGAAATAAACTTTCTCCCTTCAGTTGCTTCTTATCATAACAACAGAAATAAAACTAGAACAAAAGACAATTAAATTCCAACATGAGTGGAGGAGGGACCACTGAAGGAGTCAGCTGAGAGTTTTTTCTGTTTGACCTTTATTGAATGGAAAAAAGTTCCTCCTATACATACCTATTTGAAATTTCCCCCCCAGAGTTTAATCATGAATGAATGTCACCCGTGCTCAGTGCCTTTTCTGTCTATTTAGATGATAATGTGTTTTTCCTTTTACTTAAGTGTTGTACCATGCTGATACATGTGAGTATGCTAAATCTTTGTCTTCGATAACTACTACTTCACCCTAGGAGCTGATCTTTTAAGTGTGCTCTTAAGTTTGGTTTGCTAGTGTTGTATTGAGGAATTTTTCATCTATATTCACTTGGGATACTGCCTCTTGTTTTATTTTCCTATGTATTTGGCTTGGAACCCGTGTGATTCTGGCCTCCTAAAGTGAATATAGGAGTATCCATTTCATTTTTATTAAAGAGTGGAGAAAGAGTGACATCAGTTTTTTTTTTTTAATTAAAGCCATATGACTATTGGTTTTCTTTTGTTTGGAGATTTTTGATTGGTGATCCTGTCTCCTTATTTGGTATTGGTCTGTTCAGGTTTTCTGTTTCTTCATATTTCAGGGGATAAAGTTATGTAGTTTATTGGTCTACTAGTATCTTATAATTATTTTTATTTCTGTGATGCCAACTGTAATATTCCATTTTTATTTTTGAGTTTAGTTTTTTTTTGAAAGGCATTTACTTCACCCGCTCATTTAAAAAATTTTTTAGATGAAATTTTGCTGTTTTGAAGGCTACCTCAATCTCCCAGTAGCTGGGATTGTAGGCACGCACCACTATATTCAGCAACATGGCTCCTTTTTAATGGCACTGATCTCTTAGCAACTTTTCTATGTACCCCCTTTTCTGGACAGTCTGTAGATTTCCAAGTCTTTCAGCTCTGCTCACCCCACCCCCCAGTTCTTATGGCATATCTGCCTAAAAGAGGCCAATGCATGCTGCAGCCTGAATGCTACACTGCTTTGGAATTTTCTCTGCCAAGTAAAGCATTCTGTCACCTTGAAAGTCTGACATGCAAAATCCCAGGCCACAAACAACATGCATCCTAATTTTTTTTTACATGTGTATGTCTGCATGTATGTATGTTTATTGTGTGTATGCCTACTGTCTGTGGAGGTCAGAAGAGAATACTAGATCCCCTGGGATTGGAGTTAAGAATGGTTGTAAGCCCCCAAGTGGGTGCTGGGAACTGAGCCCAGGTCCTCTGCAAGAACAGCAAGTGTCCTAGCCACCGAACCATCTCCGCACTTCCACCCTAACACGTGTATATGGCTAACAAGGGTGGCCCGCAGGCTAACAGAGTCCTCGTAAGCTTTACCGTCCTAGTCTTCCTTGCTATGCTTTTTGTAACCAAAGAGTCTGCCGTGCTGTTTCTAGTTATCTAGTTACCAAACACACTGTCTTCTATGTGTAAAGCAGAGCGCCCAAAAAAGATAAAAATACAGCTTCTGTTTATGTTATTTACATGCTGCTTATGATATAACACATTCATGAGTAGACTTAAGTAATTTAATGTAGCTATTAAATTATTCCATAGAATGAATAAATAAGAGAAAAAAGCTGAATAGAGAGCTTTAACTTATCTCTTACATAGAAACTAAAATTTAGTATTGTACTAGGTTATGCTAATATTCAGCACCTGATATGTAATATATTTTAATATAATTTTGTACTTTTACTGTTATAAAACTTGAAAGGCATATATTTCAGTAATACTGTACATTTCAATATTTTTATTTATACAGTATAAGAAATTTCTTAGTTTTGATGAATCTAATTTAGGAGTTCTTCAAAGATTTATAGCTGGTTCCATGGCTGGTGCAACTTCCCAAACCTGTATTTATCCCATGGAGGTATGTAACATTTTAATTAAAATAATGCTTTTAATGCAACTAACAATCAGAAATGGCTTCCAGATCATTATAATAACTTTGTATGATTTGAATCTTGTATAAAGTGTCAGTCTCAATATACTTTGTTGTTGTTTGAGACAAATGATGTTGTAGATAGACCAAGAAAATACATTTATTTAGTCACTTGGTAAGTGAATATGGATTTTATGCATGCTGAGCTTAAGATACTTTGCTAGGTGCCATGTAGGATCCAAGGGGGACTGAGATGGGGATTTTGATTATGTATTCCATAGTCTATAAGGGAAAAAAACATATATATCGATATCAATGACCCAAAATTGAAAAAAAGTCATAGAAGAGAGCTCACTATATAGAGCTAGGGAAGCTCGAAGGGGAGAATTGATTTATTTCTGGTTAAGAATTCCATCAAAGACATGACCAGAATGTGTGATCATGGTATAGGCTTTGAACATGAGGAGTTATGAAGAAAGGCATTTTCAGTGGAAATAGCAGGTTGAACAAAGGAAAGGAAATTTTAATAAGTAGACACTTAGTTTTGCACTGTTTGAGGTGTTTTTATTGTTGTTGTTTGTGTTTGATTGCTTGAGACAGTATCTCACTCCATAGTCCAAGTTAGTCTGGAAATCACTATTCGGCCCAGGCTAACGTTGAGCTTCTTGGCAATCCCTTGTCCTGGTCTCCTATGTGTTGAGATTACAGGCATAAGCTATAATTTTTAAAAAATTTGTCAGCATGATATAACAAGCCTCACTAGATTGCTGCATAAGCCAGGTGAATCTAATCATTACCCTATTATTACATTACTATCTTTTACACCGAGGTGATGAAGACCAGGCTGATTTTAGGTAAAACTGGCCAGTATTCTGGGATTATTGATTGTGGCAGAAAGCTTCTGAAGACAGAGGGCATTCGGACCTTCTTCAAAGGCTATGTTCCCAACATGATAGGCATTGTGCCATATGCAGGCCTAGATCTCGCCACCTTTGAGGTGAGTTCATTCTCAAAGTATTACATTATACGTTATATTTGACAATGTAACACAAGATTTTTATTTTGAAATATAGTTATGGCTTTGCATGAAATAGTTTCTGATCAATAATCAAATTGAGTGTTCTAATTTGCCTTTCTCTTAGACATCTGGTAATCTAGTCATTTTTATTTTTGTTTGTTTGTTTATTTTTGTAACTTACTTCTTGGTAATGATGATTATAGACATAACTTCTGATAAAATAGGAGTTTTTAAGCCCTGGAAGTGCATCAGAATCACCTACTTGTAGATCTTTAAAAGAATAGACCCCCTTGGCCACATCCTGAGGTATTCTGATTTAATTATCCCAGGAAGAACTGTTGCAGTTGGAAGTTTCTTTGTGCTGCCAAACCAACTCCCAAATAAAGACTTACTATTGATTGTGAATACTCAGCCTTCACTTGGGCTTGTCCCACTAGCCCTTCTAACTTAATTTAACCTGTTTCTATTCATATATGTTTTGCCTCAGGGCTTTTTACCTTTCATTCTGTATGCCCTACTTTCCTGCTTTCTCTGTGTCTGTCTGTCTGGCTCCTGGCATCTCCCTTGTATCTCTTTTTCTTTCTTTTTTTCCAAGCCTAAATTCCTCCTTTTACTTACTCTCCCTGCCCAGAAGTCCTGCCTATACTTCCTCCCTTGCTATTGGCCATTCAGTTTTTTATTAGACCAATCAGGTGCCTTAGTCAGGCAAGGTAAAACAGCAACACATCTTTACATAGTTAAACAAATATTCCACAACATAAACAAATGTAATACATCTTTACGTAGTTAAATGAATGCAAAACATCTTTGCATAGTTAAACAGATATTTCACAACAGCCTGGGATTCAGATTTTCTAACTGCACAGAAGAATCTGATGTGTAGATAAGGTTGAGAAAAGAGAACTATCCTTGCATGGTTGTGAAGATTAGAATCAAGGAAATGAATAAACATGGGTTAGAGATGAGAGCCAGCCTAGAAATGAAACCCTGACAGTGTAGTGTTATCAGGCAGGGTCACAGGCATTTCATGGTCATGATCATACATTTGTCTCAGGACAGATTTGAGATTGGCATAAAAATGGTATTGTGTTAGTTTCTGTGGGAATATCCAGAATTATTGCTCTGGTCTTTAAAACCAAAACAATAAAAGGAAAGCAAAACAAACAAACAAACAAACAAACAAACAAACCAAAAAACAAAAATAAAAACAAAGCCAGACAACAACACATAAGAAATGTAGACATGTGAATGCAGAGTGTGAGGCTCAGGTGTGAGACTTTATTTGACTTAGAGTTGCAAGATCAAAGGTCCTTTCTTCTCCAGCAGCTTCTGAAGAACTACTGGCTGGAACACTACTCAGTGAATTCAGTGAACCCCGGGTTAATGATCGTGCTGGGCTGCAGCACACTGTCACACACTTGTGGTCAGTTAGCCAGCTTCCCCCTGAACCTTGTTAGGACTCGCATGCAGGCAGGTGAGTGTTTCAGTAGTTTAGTTTAGTGATGCCATCACTAAGGTAAGGAATATGTTTTAAGTAAGTCTGAATTGATGGTTTGAAAAACAGAAAACCAATAGAATTGATAAAGGAAAAGCTAACCAGTTTAAAACATTAAATCTGAATGTATTGTTATTAATTATTTTAAATTATTTATTTATTTTATTTTATGTGTATGAGTGTGTTGCTTGCATGTATCCACATGTTCTCCATAAGTGCAGTGCCTGAAGCAGCCAGAAGAGTGCACTAGATCTCTAGGAGCTGGAGTTAGAGATGGTCATGTGCCTCCATGTGGGTTCTGGGAACTGAACTTGGGTCGTCTGGAAGAGCAGCAGGTGCTCTTAACCATTGAGCTATCTCTCTTGGAAACGTTTGTAAGTTTCAAATGTTTTTGTTTTTCCCTCCAAAGTTCTGTCTGGGGCCTTCCACATTTGCTCCGGTTACTGATGATATCTTTAAGAGGACTTTAACTAGGAAGTGCCATGTAGAGCAGTGTAGGGTTTCTTTCTTTAAATCAAAGCAACAGCTAATCTTCATAGGCACGTTGCTCTTCTTGGTTTTGCTCTTACTGTTGTAAGCTGCTTTGGGACTCTCTGTACTTCAGTCTGCTCAGGGAGGTGATATTAAGGACTGCTTGTTTTATTTTCTTGGTGAAATATTAGGGATTTAGATTTCAACAAATGAAAAAAATCACTTTTCAAAGATGGAAAAACAACACAATGCTATTATCTTTTGAGTAAATTAAGGGTCTCACGGTGGGTGATATGCTTTAGCCTTTTCTTTCTAAGTTGGGCTTTGGGTTCAATTTATATTGCAATTGAGGTGGAGAATTTCCCTGCCTAGCATCACTCATGCCTTTTTCTGTTCAACTACCCTTCAGTCCCACTTCCAAATGCTTCTGTGAAGTCTCTCATGAAAGACTTGCAAGTTGTTCAAGGGAACTTTCTGCACTGATGAAATCATCTGTATCTGTACTGCCCAGCATAGTAGCCACCAATTACATGTGGCTATTTGAAATGTACTAATATGACTGAAGAGTGGAAATTTAATTTAATTTTAATTAAACAGTCACATGTAGTTACTACCCTATTGAGCAGCATAGGATCATTCTATATGAGTATCCTCTGAAATGATTTCAATTTCTATAAATTCTCATTATCTTTGAGCTAGATTAATAAGTAAGCATTAAATATTGAATTATACTGTGTTTTAAAATTTATAGTTATCCGGAAAAATGAAACAATACCTATGTTGCAGCTCATTAAAGAAATATACACTAAAGAAGGAAAGAGGGGATTCTACAGGGGTCTTACCCCTAACGTCATCAAGCTGCTTCCTGCAGTGGGCATCGGCTGTGTGGCTCATGAACTAGTGAAATTCCTTATGGGATTAACCTAGAAGTGGAATATCAAACTGCCACCATTGCCGCAATCACTAAGGTACAAGATAATCTTGGGCTCTCAGATGATCTTACTGTTTCCTAAAAGGAAAGAATTATCAACTAATTGTAAATTACTTTGTTTTTTATTTATTATAAAATATACAAATTAAAAAAATAGTTTTGGTGGAGTTTTTAATAATTTAAAATCCTTTATTATCCACAGAGTTCTTATTTTACATTTCCTGTTACAATCACATTAGAAAACATTTGGTAAGCTACACTAGAGTTTTTGCTAGCATTCTCTTTTTAAGTTATGAACATGTTTTATACAGTAAAGCAAAAGTCAGTTCATTTAAATTTGACACTACAGTTCATCTCTTCAGCAAAGTGGAAACCCATTCCATAATTCCTTCTAGAATGTTATGGATTGGGTGACATGCTTTGTCACTTCCCTTGCTAGTCCTATGTCCCTTCCGTTTCTGCACATCCCATCCCCCCACCCCACCCCCACCCCAAGACCGGTTTATCTTTCTAGACACCTCTGTAGACAAGAGCTGCCTTTCTTGCCTAGCCTGGGGGAATTCCTGTGCACATGGTTTCCACAAACCCTGAGAATGACTTGCCCAGGGAAGCGGCTTCTCTTTCACTCCACTGGGAAAACATTGGCTAACATTTCTTATTGAGGACCCATTTGTGTCCTCAAAAGTCCTACTCACTTCAACCATCTCAGGTAATCTAATGAAACCAGTTGCTGGAGCTGGAGGTGGGGCAGCTGTCTCCTCCTGGGAGGGAGGGAGAGAGGGAGTGAGCCAGAGAGGAAGGGAAAGGGGGGAGGGAGGGAGGGAGGAAGGAAGGAAGGGAGAGGGGGGGAGAGCTAAGTGTGTGACTCACAGCACACTGTCTCCAGAGTTCCTCTTTGGAGTCACTGTCTTTTATTTGAGCTGTGAGTGTGAGCTTCAGGGGTCATAAAGTTGACTGAGTGATAATGCTATTATGACCTTATATTTCATTTTCAAATAAGACGTCTATTGTCGGAACTCTGTTAATAGTTGGTTAGCTCTGTATTATTATTTTTTTAACCTTGTTAGCAAATATCAATTGTACAAAAATGAATAGTCTCACTGTGTCATTTTCATACATTATGCTATGAACTTTGATCACGTTAAACAATAAACTCAGTTAAAAAGTGAGCAAAGGACTTAGATCGACATTTTCCCAAAGAAAATATACAAATGACACAAATAAGCAAATAAAAGTTCCTTGATATTGCTGACCACAGGAAAAGCAAATTCAAACCTAAATGAAATCCCATTTTACACCACTGTGATGGCTATTATTGAGAAAACCCTAGAAAACAGTGAGTTCTGGTGAGGATGTGGAGAAACTGGAGCCCTGTGCACTATTGATGGAGGATGGTACCACTGCTTCGGAGAACAGTTCCTGAGGAGATCTCATCACCAAAAAGGAGAATGATCCTGCCATCCAGCAGCTTACGCTGATGTGGATATAGCTTTGTATGCCGTGAATGTGTTGCTATGATTAATTGATAAATGAAACACTGATTGGCCAGTAGCCAGGCAGGAAGTATAGTTTAGGCGGGACAGGAGAGAAAAGAATTCTGAGTCAGGAGACGCTGCCGGACACTGCCGCCATGAGAAGTAAGATGTAAAGTACTGGTGAGCCACAAGCCATGTGGCAACTTATAGATTAATAGAAATGGGTTAATTTAAGATATAAGAACTAGATAGATAGCAAGAAGCCTGCCACAGCCATACAGTTTATAAGTCTCTGTGTGTTTATTTGGGTCTGAGTGGCTGTGGGCCTGGCAGTACTAGAGAAATCTCCAGCTACATTATACTATTTGAAAAACAGTTCAAAGCAGGGGCTCAAGGAGCCGCTTGCTCATCTATGCTCATATCAGCATTGCTTGCGATAACCAAAATGTCCAAGCAACCTGGAAGTCCATCTACAGGTCAATAAACTGTGGTTCATGCATATAATGGAATGTTCTTTCTCTTTTAGAAGAAATCTTGGTACATATTACAATATGGATGACCCTGGAGGATATTATACTAAGTGAGATAAACTTAGTTACGAAGTGTAAACACTGTATGTTCTCTTATATGAGGTACCAAGATTGATTAGACTCAGAGGCAGGTGGAATGGTGGCTGCCAGTGGCTTGGGAGGGAAAGGTGACCCCTGGAGTTACAAATGGTTGTGAGCTGTCATGTGGGTGCTGGGTACCAAACCCAAGTCCTCTGGGAGAGCAAATCATGCTCTTAACTGCGAAACCGTATCTCCAGCCCCTGACCCAAATTTCTTACAGTGTTGGACTCCTGTGTTCTGCCTTCCTGGACTAGCTCCATAAACACAGGGCCTTCAGCTAGTTTCTTCATTGCTGTCTCTCCCCCGGGGAGGTCTTTGGGTGGCACACAGCAGGCATTCAGTGAAGACTTACTAGTTGAATGAGCCGCACCCAGGGGAAGGAACATCTGTTTACACTTGTTGTATATTGGGTGGAGGGCAAGGGTTATTATACCACCTTTTGTTACCTGTCTTTTTCCAACCATAATTATAGCCCTTTCTTTTTAGACCGTTGGTAATTATTGCAATAGTACCTAACTCTAATATGATTCAGGGAAGTAGTTTATATAAAATAATTAATGTTATTGTAGTTTTATCTCACCTTTTGTGTGTTTTGTTTTTGCATGTGTTCACATGTGTAGGTGTGCATGTGGAGGCCAGAGGTTGACATTAGGTGTCTTCTTTAATCACTCCCCACTTTATTTAAATTTTTATTAGATTGTGTGTGTGTGTGTGTGTGTGTGTGTGTGTGTGTGTGTGTGTATGTGTGTGTGCAAGGCATGTGTGTGGAGGCCAGAGGTCACTTACTGAGGGTCAGTTCCTTCTTCTCACCCTGTGGGTCCCAAGGATCAAACTCAGATCATCAGGATTAACAATAGGTATCTTTACTTGCTGAGCCCTTTCCAGGGCCCTCCACCTTATTTTTTGAGGCAGGGTCTCTCATGAACCTGGAGCTTGCCTATTGAGGCAAGATTGTCTGGGTAGCAAGCCCGTTTTTGCCTTTACAGCACTGGGATTGTGGGTATGCACTGCCATTATTATTATTATTATTATTATTATTATTATTATTATTATTTTAATGTGGGTGCCAGGGGATTGAACTCAGGTCCTCATGCTTCTAAGGCAAACATTTTACTGACTGAGATATCTTTCCAGCTCTCCTCACCCCTAATCCTGTATTGCATTGTAGCTTATTGTGTTATTAATTTACCTTCTAAAGCAACAAAGCTTCCTAGGATCTTTGCTTTCAATAGCTCAATGTGTATCACTGTCCTGTACTGTAGTAAAGCTCTAGCTAAGAGTTTCACTTCCCTCCAGCCTGTGGTCACTTCTGTTATTGTTCCTGGCTTGAGCGTTCTTGACTACTCCCAGTAACCCTTTGAACTTTATTTGCTTTGAACTTTCTCTCCCTCTGGAAAGTAGGGAGGCGGGAATGAGAGATAGATAGTAAAGAAAACTGAGTATGTCTCTGAATAAGGACAGTGATCATGGTTGCAGTGCACCACGTCTACAGAGTCTTCCTCATACACTGGGTGCTGTTTCTATGTCTGCGAGGAGAAAGCAGCCAAGCTTTGTGTCGTAAAGAGAGTTTTTTATACCGGGCAAGTCTGGAACCTGTGTGTTGCTTTTCCAGTAGAAGATATTCCACAGGTGGGTAAGAAAACCTCAATTATTGCACATCCATTCTGCACATCAAGCCTTGCCTTCAATGCCTGTGTGGAATATTTCCAACATAAAAATGAAGAAATGTATTTGGAAAGTTTATCTTTCATGGCTGATAGAAGAGTCATGAAGGTTAAATTATACAGAGGCTTAGTGGAACCACTGCTGACTCAATCCACCCTGTGATATTAGGCCAAGGATGGGTCACATGATGCACCCTCCACGTGCCATTTCCTTTTCCCTAATAGACTCTGGGTGTATAGAACAGGCTCTGCCGTCACTCACCTCTTCCTGCTGGCTTCCTAGACAAATCCCAACCTCCTCTCTATGATGCCAGCAACATCACAGGAGACGGTATGGGGGAGATGCAGGGAGGTAAGTTCTCTGCTCTAACCCCATTCCTGGCCACCCAACTGAACATCAGTGACCAGTGTTTCTTCCTTCTCTCATTGTCTGGATGGCTTTTACTGTATCACACTGCTGATCTCATGAAAGTATTACATAAACTATGGGTTGTACTTTGTTCTGGTCATAACAAGCTGGTTTTACTTTGTTTGCTCCTGTGAAGGAAAATTTGTTGTAAGTAAACCCATCTTAGAGGAGAGGAATGTGTTTTTTTTTTAAGAATATTAAAAATTGGCTTTTTCACTTCAAAAGCCAATTTGCAAAATTAGCAAGCCCATGCAACATAGAAAAGAAGCAGCCCGTGTATACTCATTCACAGATTCCATCCAAATTTTACCTGTTCTCTAGATGATAGCCTTTCAGGTCACATGCTGAACTTTTATTTATGGTCTTTTTCTTTCTTTCTTTCTTTCTTTCTTTCTTTCTTTCTTTCTTTCTTTCTTTCTTTCTTTCTTTCTTTCTCTCTCTCTCTCTCTCTCTCTC